TATTCTGTAAATTCTAAAAGTTTATAAACAAAGTCCGACTACAGCACAAATAGCTATTGTGTTATATTCTCTTTTAGTGTATGTGAGTGTTTAATTCTGATATAATATTAATAATTTGGATATTTCAACAATGAAATACCTGTCAGCTTGTAATCTGTTATACCTTTAACTCCATATCACGTTTATGTTTTTAAGGTTAAGAACATAAATCTCAATGCATAGAATGCGTCCGTTGTGTAAGCAAAGGCCGAAACGTAATTTTAGATTACATCAATCTAAACTTATATCTTATAATTAGATGACCTTGACACCAAAGTTAAAAAACAAAGAGAAAATTTTAAAATTTTATTTTAAACTTCAAAATTCGTTTACCAAACAGAAAATGTCTTATTATAAAACGAAATTATACAAACTACGGGGGTTAACCATTATCCATTAACAAATTAAATGATTCTACTTTATATCAATGTGGGTCAGTCTATATCCTGCCAAACATGCACATGTCTGAATAAATAGAGTTGAATGAATGATTTTACCAAGATGATACTAATTATTTAACAAAATTTACACAGTGATTTTCAAACAAGCGACACAAAAAGCTCAATACACACAGATTATATGTTTATAATATGGATGTTTACTGAAACAATTTGTGCAGCGTTCCAAGTTTATGCTTACCGAGAATTGTGTTGACGACGTCATTTGCCAAAAATAGATGTATAAAACTTCATAAACTTGGAGACCGACCTTTCTAACAATAAGGCATCTATGGATGCTATATTTTAATAACATATATAGCAAAACGGTGGCTTGATTTTGATGGGGAACAAATACTTCTGGCATTGAATTTGTTCGTATAATTGCTTATGATTAGTTTGCGTCACCAGTAACAAGTTTTGAAGACCATCGGCAATGGAATGACGTATGTGTGCTTCGGGTGATAAAAAGCATACAATAAATATTTTTAAGGACCGGTTTGAAAGCTTGACTTTGCGTCACGAAATAGAAAATATCACTGGAAAATCTGACCAAATGAAGTATGTTTAAGTTCGATAACTGGCTAAAAAGAGCAGTTATCCTTAAATTATGTACGTGGAAGTATAGGGGTAGGTAAGTATGCAGAATCGCTGTGGTGTCAACATGGGGAGTGGGGACTATCTTTGTTTCATAGCTGTGTTTACTGACCGCTGTAAATATGAGAACTTTTCTCAGATCTGTCAACGTCATAGAATACGGTGAATTTGTTCGATGTTCTACAGTTTTGCGTGACTAGTACCTGAGAGACAGTAAATGTTCCAACATTAAAAATATATATTTACTTCTTTAAGAAAAATAATAAATAATAGGTATTGATCATCTATTTTTTTACACAACAATTTTGTGTTGACGTGTTTGATTTTTTTATGTAACTGTGTCCATTTATCCGCGTACTACTTACTATACTAGTACTAGTCCGCGTATTTATTAGAATCTAGCTTTTATAACTGAGAGGTAATCAGAAGTGAACCAAGTTACTGACACGCACATTTGTAGGATCCATAAACGATTTTATGGTGTGTGTAAGACCATAATTGAACTACCACTAATTTAAGTATTTTTATTTTACTTACGTACACACACTTTCACAGATATAATATACAAGCAGTATAGTTTATAATACATACAACACTATGACAGTATAGTTGTTTGCTCGGTTAGGTTAGATGCCCGCACCCCTACAATTCGCGATAGGTATTCTAATTGCTCTCATTAGCTTTGTTTTGGCAGTATAGTTGTTCACTCGGATAGGTTAGGTTAGATTGCCGCACTCCTCCAATTCGCGATAGGTATACTTATTGCTGTATGTGTTGATCTAGGCCGTCCTCGTTTTCTCTTGCCTTCTATTTTTCCTTCCAGTATTATTCCTAGATAAACATACAAACAGCAAGTGAAGGAGAAAGTGGGAGTCGTGGCCTATTAGCCTAATTGCTCTCATTGGCTTTGTTTTGGCAGTATAGTTGTTTGCTCGGTTAGCACCCCTACAATAAATAAGGATGCCATTTAACCACTCCCCCCTCCTCCTCTACTCTGCAATCATGCGGTCAGATACTAAACCGTAACCCATACCCCTCTAAAAAAGGTATTAGGTAGAGCAGGAGCACATGACACACTCACAAGATTTGACTTATACCTACAATAACATTAGTTTTTTACTTGACCTTACGTCTATGTGAATTTTTACTCTCGGTCCTTTGATCGTATTATGTACATATTTACAGGGACATTTATTATACAGTCCAACTTATTATTCGGATAGTTTTATTAAATATTTGGGCATAAATTTTGTGGTACATACTATCTGGATTCGAACGTGTATGGTATCTATAATTAGGTAATCCAAGTCTTGGTCAATTGACGTTTGTAACTTAATCGATCATAATACAAAAATACAAGTGTTGTCATATTAACACCTTATTACTTAAAACATCGAGTGTCAGGGAATTCCGTTTGGCAGAGGTCGATAGTTAAATTAACGTGACACATCAAACGGTCTGTTATGTCATTGCATTTTACTCGTAAGCCTGTTTGTACCTGCGTTACCTCGGTCGATTTCGTAACATAGTCTTTGTTCTGCAAGATGATAAATGAGATACCACCTCAAGGCTCCGTGGCTAAATATAGAAGAACAAACTAAGCATGTTGGTTGATTAAAAACATGGTGTCTAAGTCGAAGGTCCAATTGAAGTTCTTTTTCATAAACTGTCGAAAACTAAAGGTATAAATTGAACTACTTAATAGAAACTATCGTTCAATTTTGTTTATAAATAAAGTATACTAATTGTGGACTTTTTCAAATTGTTTATTTAGTTTCTAAGTGACCAGATATTCTTACTGTGTGTGAAAATGTGATGTGTAGTATCATCATTATATCATCCTCAACCACATCTATTCAATGTTAATGAGCATATTATAATACCTGTTTTGTATAGCTATATACTAAATGACCACTCATTTGAATTTAACAAATGTCTTACAAAGTTATGAATTATTTAATTTAATAAAAAATAGTTGGGACAAGGAAACAAATGAGAAAATTAAAAAGTAATTTCGTTATTATGTCATAATGTATGTTACATAATGCCAAAATTACTTTTTGATTTCTTTACTTACTAGGTATTATGATACATAGGTGTGTCTATAATACTCAAAGGGTTAGTAAGAATATCTCCAATACAATTATGGCACTTGTTTCAAAGTGATAACTGGTAACTGTTAAAAGTACATTTTATTTGATCGTGAGAAACAAAAATGATTCCGCTTATCATGATCGCAGGTAAGCCGATCTGTTACGTGACCGTTCACAATGCAATGTTTGTTTCATCTATTTGTAATATTAGAACTATTAGACATGCTTGGTGATAATTAAAGTAAAGATAAACAACTCTTTAGACATATCATAACCTGTCAATAGGAAATTAAGGTCAATAAACACGTGTTACATTTATATTGCTATCGATTCAAACTTGAACAGCACTTTACAATTAAACAGGCTCATATTACAATGCTGACGCAGATTTGTTTTTGTAACAGTACAATAATAGTGTCAAAAATAGAATCAAATCTACAATGTAAACCAAAACGGGTCTGTAAACAAAAATCTTCGAGAACAGAGATTATTTATACATAAATAAGCCGCTATGGTTATATACCGTATTTATTTCTTACTGCATGATTCATTCTCAGACTTTCTTGAGTTTTTTTGGAACTCGCATCCCATAAACCTACATGCCGCGGTCTTAAAGAAGAAACAAAGTTTTGCGTTATGATTGTTGCACTCACTTGTTAACTACAATCATCTAGAGCGGTTGGTGCGTAAGTTACTTAAAAGTTAACCGGGTTGAAAGTCGCGGGGCGTGTCGCCGTCTATTAAAAAATAACATCGAAATGACGAAAACCAGAGACGAGGTAGACAGAGCATTTAACTCCTTTTGACAGCATCATACACTTTTACTCTCTTCTTAGTCATAAACACATGTATTTTTATTACTACTTTTATTTTTATTTACTAGATAGTTCACTAACTAAAAAATTCAACCACGATTATGTTATCAATCGAGGCCTTAGTAATTTGTTTACAAATATGAGGCACGAGTTGAACTCTCTAGTTTTCTCACGTTGTTTTACTCAAATTTATAATATGCACTCAAACATTAAAGAGCATAACAGCATACATAAAACTTGCTTTTGAAATTAATTTTACTTCATAGTTTTTTTTGTATTATATGTATGTTTCTGTTTTGATTAAACAGCCAACAGCAGTACATAGATTAAGTAGAGATGTTATAGGTTACCTTTACCTACACTTATTACATTTATATCATATACATTTTTGATTAATAATTATATCTGAGTGAATAATAATTTCCATGTGCCACATTAGGGACCAAAAATACTTTAAAAAGTAACATGGCGAACACTCGCACTAGCGTCATTGAGTCAAATATACAGTCACACAGTTAAGAAAATAACTTCACCCATTAGGGGCACAGAAGACTGAGGAATATATCATTTAATTAAAAGGGAGCCTTTTAATTAGGTCTTTATGTCAGTACTTGACATTAGCTAAGATTTTTGTTTTTGAGCCTACGATATCAAGTTATCAAAAAATATTACCCTGTCACGTAATTTTTGGATAACAAAAGGTCATCCATAAATTAATTAACATAGTTAATATTGTTTTAATATCTAATGTCACAAAGGCCCTTTTGCTTCTTTTGTTTGGCCCTCTTCCTTCTTGTTATTTGGGGGTGATCTTTAATCCAACAACAAGTCAAGTTATATCACTTTTAATGGGACTAATCCCTCCCACACCCACCACTGTGTACAGGAGTTGTACACCAGGATCAATAGCAGTGACCCACGAACACACCGAGTTATTACTCGGGAAGTCCCAGGAAGAAATTAAGCTGTCTTGAAACCAGCAACCAAATTTTAGTAATTTTAAAAGTTATATCACTTACCTACTAAAGTGTACTTGATAAGACATGGGTGGCATAAGTTGGTGATAGGCTGCCAGTGTTCATTGTTCACCACATCAGCCAACTCCGCAGATCTGTTTGTAAGAAACAGCGCGAACTCCTTGAATGTAACGTCGTGGCCGTACTCAAGAGATTCATTTGACGGTTTCTCGCGGTACGCCTTGATTATTCTTCTTCCTACTCGATTCTGAAAAGAATTGCTTTTTAGAAATAGATAATGGACTAGTAATATGGTTATTTTAAATTTAAATTTAAAAAAAAATGCTTTTTAATTTTTGTCTGTTTGTCTTTCTGCGTGTCTGTTTGTTCCGGGTCTCAAAAAGGCTGGACCGATTTTGATATTTTATTACCAAGCAGCTGTGTATATAAGGAGTAACTAAGGCTATTTTTTTTCTCTCAGGAAAACCCTATAAAATTTTGCCCGGTTCGGTAATCGTACCCACTAAGGCAGCGCTTTTCAAATTCCACACGAACGAAGTCGCGGGCACTAGCTAGTTAGGAATATATCCTGTGTCGCGGGGGACTTAACAAACATACATAAAACGGACACAAAAACACCCAGACTCAGAACAACAATTTGTGGATCACACAAAGTGTCGTCCCATGTGGGGATCGAACCCACAACACACAGAGTAGTAGGAAGCGGCGTAAACCGCTTAAACCACTACGCCATCCGTGCAGTCAGCTTTTTTTTTTGTAAATGGGAGTAAGAGATCTCCGCCTGTAGTAAAATCCGATACTAAGGACATTGTCTTTTATAACAAACTAACTGAACCGTGCAATTTGATCTGCGATCTCTCAAAACGAACGACATTTTCGCCTTTCTAGATAAATGGGCTATCCAACACTGAATTCCTACACTACACTTAGGCGGTAGTCACTTTCCATTAGATGACTAGTTTGCTCGTCTGCCCCCTCTTCAGTAAAAAAAAGAGTACACACTAGAATTATTCAATTCGAATCAGGAGTACCTAAGAATAGCGAGTTTAACCAAACAAGCAGTATTTAGCTTTATAATTTTAGTTAAGATATACATTAACTAAATAGTCTAAATACTAAGAAATTTAATGTGACTGAATAGACTGCGTGGATGAAAATTGTGTTTTTAAGAATCCATTAAAAAAACTTTTATAAATGTTCGATAAAGACACTAACTTTTGAAACATAATATGTTTTAAAAAGTTAATTATTATCATTTATTTAAAAGGCTAAGGAAAGTATGATCAAGAGATCTGAGAATTCGTCCCGCATTAGGTCAACGTCATGCACGCAGAGACAGTTGAACAGTTGAGTTTAAAAAAAAAACATAAAAGTGTATACGCACAAAAAGTTATAAATGAAAAGCCCTACTAATACTTGATTTATCTTCTATTACACCTGATTAAAACAAAAACGTCAATCGATCAAGCAAAGACGCAGGACCAAAAACGAACGAAGAAAAGGGATGTCATTAAAATTATAAGGTAAAAATGAAGACTCATTTAAGACGAAAGTCCGAGCTCGAATTCTCGACACTGAAGCAGACTCATCACATCCCTAAAGTTTTATATAGTATATTATGTGTATATATATGTATGTAACTCAGCAAGTATTTATGTATGTGTATCTCAGTATGTACGTATGTGTATCTCATTATGTATGTATGTATATCCGTCAGACTGGTTCTGTCCATATCCTTAATTACTATTATCTCGTTACATATAAAACTTAATTTCTAGTGCGCTTACTCAGACATTTCCCTACTACCCAAAGGAAGACTGGGAGAAAATGCCTGTGGCATTAAGTCCGCCATTGTACAATGAATTGTTGTTTGGTCAAAAATAATTAAATAATTAAAAAAAAGATCAATAACAGATCATACTTTACTAAGAAAAAATGGAGAATCGATCGCGTGATATTTATCGAAATCGAATATCCATTACAATAATATCGTCCATCACAATAAAAAATATGTCTGACATTAACTCAGGATGGTCATAATGACTATTCACGAAAAAAGCTGTAGGTAATTACATTAATGACAAAGCCATCCCTAAAATAGCCTAGACATCTATTCAACATTATCATATAAACTAGATTAATATCAAGGCCTTGCTATTGAATAAAAATACAATAGGTAACACTTTTAGTCGTTTTAATACTTTTATGAACGCAACCTAATTTAGTTTCTAAAAGACACGCACAACATGTTTCAATGTCCTTCAAAATGGATACTTCGAATAAAATCAATAAAAGGAAAATACAAAATGACCATAACGTTATAAGATAATCTATATATATAAAAGAAACTGATTCACTGATTGATCGATCAACGCACAGATAAAACCGCTGGGGTCCTAGAGGCATGACATTTTGCACAAATGTTCCTTAGGTAACGTAGATGTGCACTTTTGAGGGATTTTTGGAAATTCACCCCCTAAGGGGGTAAAATAAGGGGTAGAAGGTTGTATAGAAGTTCGTCATTTTCAAAGTCAAAAACGCGAAACTTCATACACCAACTTCTGGTTACAAATAAATGGGCATGTGAATCTTTCGCCCCACGCGAATTACCGAGGCAGCGAATGTCCCGCGGCCAGGCCGTAAGCGATGTATGACCGACGTTATGTAGGATAACAAATTAGGTTAATTCTTTAGATATTGAATCATAAAATAGCAATATAAGCAATTTTTATGAACCTACAACATGAACATTACCTACTACATTCTTCCCGGAATATAACGGCATTTTTTAATGTTTACTTTCATGGATTTACTTGTGGATGTTTACTTTATTTGTATGTTTAATTAAAGTAGTAACTACTATTTTATTAATATCTATTAGTATTAAGAAAAATATACTTCAACTTAAAAATGGATTTTAATTATCTATTTTCATAATTCAATAAATGCTACTTAAAAAAACACATGACACTGTTTTGGAACTACGTTAATTAGCAGTGTAAATAAATAAATACTAATCTCTATATCCATAATAATGCTAATCCCTGGGTAGTGAAACATTTTATAAAAGATCAAACAAGTCTTGTGTAAACGAAGTCTCAAAAAGTTCCAAATTCGATATACAAGCCAAGGTCTGCGTGCGGTCAAGCTCTTATCGCAGATAGCACCTTACAACACGTAACAGCAAGTCACTGTTTTTCGTGTGGAAGCCCTTCTACCTCAACAGGACTACCGTATGTCGGACTCATACCGACTAAAACCACACGGTGTGCCATACTGCGCTTGAAATAAGTGAACCATTGGTGCTGCGGCGGTATGTCCTCAACGATCCAGTGCTTACCCAAGACAACTAAACTAAATTCAAGCACTGCAAGAAATATATATTTTTAAATTTGAAAAAAGTTATTAGTCACTTGAAAGTACCGAAATTTCGAGTACATTGATCCTTTCGCACCTAGTCTAAATGATTATATTTACAAAATTTTCAACTCTTATCTACTTACAATATGTAAAAAGGATTATAAAAACGGAATAGGTTGGTAGGTCGTTAACTGCTCAGTATGTACAAGGAGTTATGGAACACTCCTTTATACCGTTACACTAAATAACCATAATTGCTGTAATTATCTATCGAGTTTGGCAAGAGATTGCTAATTGGCCGCTGCTTTGAACTCAGCGTTGCCTCTTTGCGGTGAAGTTATAAACACTGAGTGTTTACTGAACGACACATTTGAGTAATCATTTCCTATACAATGCATCGGCTTTATTCATCTCGCTAAATTAATACTCTCGTATAATACAAACAATCTTATATGTGTGTGTCACTTAATGTATTACTGTTTACTGCCACACAGGAACTTCTTATGATAGTTCTCTCTCCTGCGTTTGTAAATTGTATTATGATTTTAACGTTTTGATAACTTATTCTCTTTCCTAAACAAGTGTGAAATGCACTATGTCAAAACTGGTTTCCGACACTAGTCATACTAACATTTCGATTATATTATCGTAGTAACCGACATTTGATTTTCTATAAGTAATATATGCAATGAGGTGCGACATTGTGGAAAGAAAAACAAAATCGAACCTAGTCTGTTCTGTATTAAGAAGAAGGCATTTGTACGCCTACCGTCAGCACATAATTATAGTGACATTTTATTTGCTTCTCCTAGCGCTTATCTCCAAGGAATGCGGATATAAGCGGATGTCGCGTTAACGCGTGACAAGTTTCAATGGAGGTCGCGAGAGTCACCATTGACGAAGCAGATCCTGGTGACTTTAAGCGCAAAGACCCACAAGCCACCCATGCCAGAATAGACCGAAGTTATCCTTTTTTTCTGTGCGGTAATCTCCTTGGATGCCACTAGAACCGACCAAAAACTGCACGAACTGTCTCGGATACTAGTTGCCGGGGAACCAAGTGGACCCTTTTTTTTTCGTGCGGAAATCCTAAGAAAATCCCTAGCTCTATCCAAAGCTTAAAACTGTAGACACACTGTAAAAGTTTTGGCGCTTTGTCGGTTTTCCTTCTTAGTCACATAACTGAAGAATGAAATAGTGGCTAATACTCGTATTTTAAAAACTCTCTAGATAAATTAAGACAATGTCATATTGAACGGAGTGACTTGAGACATACCTATTTCATAATTATTACTATCAATGAATGATCACCGTCAAAAAGTCAACTAGCTCTGACGACGAATAAATTGTTATCAACTAGAAAAAAAATCTGCAAGGCCAATGGAATTTTTGACCACACGTAAAAATTAGCACATGCGTCATCAAATCGAGTTATAAAGCGATGTGTGAGCTTGTGATTTTGGCTAGACTTCTGAAACTTTAAGTTTCGCCTTCTATTAAGTATATTGGTTATGTTCAACTCAAACAGTAGCGTGGCTTTAATCACGGACGGACGAAAGATTTGAAAGCTGCCTCCGGACTTGAGTACCTACAGATTAGCAGTAAGTTGGAAACTATTAAGTACATGTTAGATTTTTTGTAGTAAACAACAACAACCCTTAAGGTTGTTGTTGTTTTGAGATATAAAACATCGGTCCGTGTTCTTAGTTAACAAAAGAAAACGGAATGTATTACTAAGATAGGTACTATTAATGAATGTAATTGTAAGATGCAAAGGCAGTATAACAACCAGCGGGATAATAACCATTCATTACGCATAGCTAGCTACAGGCACGTCTGCTTTGTCTTGGATGAGGCGACTGATGTACATCAGCTGATAAGCATCAGGCACGAGCAGCCATTACAATCTAGAAAATGAATTGAAGTAACTGACTATAAAACTATAAAAGATGCACCAAGAGAATGTCAACTAATCTTTATACATATTACATTTTGTTTGAACGGAAAAGTGGAGCACGAAATGTAAAAGGAGACTAACAAAAAAGCAAAACTAAACTTGAGTTATTTTTGAAGCGGCGGCCGGCCCTATCGCGCTGAACTTGACACGATCGGACGAACACGACCGTGGTATTTGTATGAACCATTATTTGTAGACGGCGATTTTGATGGCGAGTAAAGGTTTTTAATACATTTTTTAATTTAGTCTTTATTTTATGTGATATCTACAAAACTGTCTATTAATAATAATTTAAACGTCAAATTTTATTTTATTTCACCCTAAGGTTGACTGGCAGACAATAAGACATTCGCTGCCTGTACCACTTTTAGGCATTAAGTCCGATTGACTCGTATGGAAAATAAAATCTATTTTTAAATAATGGTAGTGAAAATGTTTAAAGCTTGTGAATAATAAATTAGATGTCAAACATTCGCGTATTATTTTAGAAGTTATCATACTTCTGATAACGTAAACTAAATCCATTTTCAAATCTAGAATGTCAACTTTCCTTTCTTAATTGATTTATAAATAATTTATAATAGTAATTATTATAGGCGAGATTCCTTGTATTTGATTAATATGTCAACCAAGTCGATTTTACTAAAAAATCGATGGATCGGTCCATGAGTTCGTCTTATTCTCCGAGAGCATCTGCAAACACTGAGATTACCGCCTATTAATAATCACTCTGTGTTTTTAATCTTATTGTATTTGTACTAATTACGAAGCAGCGATGGCATTTTATGAAAGTGTAATATTAATGTTAGAATATTAACCGAAGTTAGTCAACACTTGATTTTGATTTATATAGTTGCGTATCGATTCGACTAAACTAAGCGGAGCCTGTACTATGGTAACCAGAGATTTAAAAAAAATAGTATACTTAAATATCAAAATTAAATAAAATTCAGAAAATTGTGCTCATCATGATTATTCGTCCCGGTTGGAAATCAAGCCTACCATATCTGACTTGACACTCATGATTACTTTTACCATTGAATATGTCTGAGACATCATTTTAGTACGTTCGATTCCAAAACAATTAAGAACTATAAAGCTAGTCTTAAGACTGATCGGTGCTTTCTACACAATACAAAGTAAAAGTTTACACAGCTCATGTTTTAAGAAGCTAACTGGCTCGCACTCGCAGCCGTCTTAGAATCTAAATAAATGCATTACGTGCCGGCAAAGTGCCACCATCAGCTTGCCAGAATAACATTTATGTTTTAGTCTTCTATGTTTGGCTAACAAAATGGTCTCTATAAAAAACAAATGAGAAGTTAGAAGCTGTTGTTACGAAATTAAATCAGTTACAAACATTTGAAATTATAATTACTTTTACCGTTTTGTTGACGTATTCCTAAAAAAAAACCTAATTCATTCTACATTAACACAAAAAAAAAGAATTTAAATAAGATTCGGAAGAATACTATTTCTATTACACAATTTTATTGCCATGTTTGATATGGCGATAGACGAATTTGTGACAGTTTTGAACGTCGTATGTTTGATTATACTTGGGTGTACTTTATCTATAATTTGTATATATTTAGAAATATATACAAATTATAGATAAAGTAGCTTGTGATGTTTAGCAGCAGTCTTAGTACCATAGTACGGGCTCTGCCTAGTTTGGGACCAGACTGCCGTGTGTGTGTCCACGAATATTTATATCTCAGCCAAATAGTTTCTTTCCAGGCAAGATAGGACAAAGAAATCTCGCGCCGCATCGAAAACGCCTGGAAGACCTATTGGTCGATGAAGTACTTCATAAAAGGTAACCTTCCCTTATGCCATAAGCGTAAGCTCGTGGATATGTGCATCCTCCCCATTCTCAAGTATGGTGCACAAACTTGGTGTTTGATTGGACAACAGAAGCCCGCGCAGAATTCTCTAGGTACAGCTGAGAAGCTGTACCTAGAGAATTCAGCGCGACATACAATATTACGCTCCAAAACACAAATCCACAAGCCACATTCAAGTGGGACGGACACGTTTGCAGCATGGCGACAGATCCAGGTCCCACAAGGTGCAAAACGACAACGTGGTAGGACCAGGCGACGATGGCAGTACGATCTCGACTGCTTCCGAACTAGCACACGACAGAGAGACGTGGCAGGGAGAGAGGAAGGCCTATGCCCTGCAGTGGGACAATACAGGCTAAAAATAAATAAATAATATAGTAATGATTTTTACGGTGACGATTATGTTAATGAAGGTGGTATAAGAAGAACATTAGAAGAATTCAACATTTAGGCATTTGTTTTAATTTTGATACTTTTTCATAAGTAGATACTTTGATAGTAACTTAAATATTAAACTCAATTGTTCATTTTATATTAATTTAACAAACACTTTTAAAGAAACAAGCCGACTTCAGTAATGTTCAACACCATAAATCTATTTTAATTGTTAAATTCATGTTAGTTTTCATTTATATCATAATCTTGGGGTTTTTGATAATGAGATGTGAAGAAGTGAAAGTCTAAACACAGTTACTGTCTGTCTAAGTCTGAACACAGCAAAGATACTAAGTACCATTAGATTTTTAGAGCTCTCAGTTCTGGTTTATACCAAAAAAGTACAAGCAGGTATGCCAAATGTAGGTATAAATATTAGTTTTATAAAGTATTCAAAAATCTTAAGATCTAAATCTAATATTAAGCTTTATAATTTTGTTACCAATTACAAATAAGCTATACTTGTGATAGTTTTTTTATCAAGGTTATCAGAGGTTTATAAAAAAAATTAACCCATGAGGCTTCAGTGTTGATAAGTTTTTTTTAACTTAACTTTAGATATTTAACCTGTTACTTGTCAAACATCTTTGTGTTCAAAGTTGCAGTTAAAGTTAGTTAAGTTAAAAGTAAGTTTTAATACCTGTCACATAATTTTTGTGTTACAACTAAACTTGGTCTTAATATGTAAGCCCAAAACTGGCTATCATTGTCAATGAAATGTTAAAGCATTATTTATTTTGTATGATGTGAGCAAACCATGACTAAAAGGTTGTGCAATATTATGTGGAATATTAGGTAAGCTGAGAGGTGGTCAAGTTGACCAATATAAATGGCTGGAAATTCTGACTCACCTGGAAATACTTAGCACTTGGTGTTTTTCCTTCCAACTTATTTCTATACGCAGACAGCAGTCTCTCAAATGGGTTTCTTACTATAATCATCTTGTGATAATTCTCTAACATATAATCTCTATCCCGGCGGTTTACTGAGCTTAGGTTTGGGAACACTCCAGGGGCATGGACCAAATTACCTGGTATAGATAACACATCCGTACCGTTCCATTTACCAGTCAGGATCATTAAAACTCTTTTCCAATTTGTACATGCTACCTGAAAAAAAAGTGTTTACTGTAATTTGAAGACCATAAAACAGAATAATTTAGTATTATAAATACTCAACTGTAACTATTTAATTACAATTCTAAATTTGAATTTAAAATTTGTGTAAAAAAAAAAATTTTGATGAATAAATATTTACTTAATGTAGTTTTACTAAATATTTTTTTATGAATTTATTTAAGTCCTGGAATCACCTATAGTTCTACTAAATACTTATATTTGTCATAAGTATTTATTTAAAAATTATAATTTCTTCTCTATCATTATTTTGATCATTGTTCATGAGAATCAAAATTATATGTATTAACATAACATAGGTTCTAAATACAAAATACGAATTCAAGTTATTAATTAAAGTTTATCAAATTGCGTAAGTTTTTACGAGTTACCGAAGCTTATTAATCATTAGCACGTAATAACTTAAATTTTTCGGTACGACCATCCGGTTTACCTTGAAGACTCACCTTTGGCACGTAGCAGTACAATAGTTTGCGTTCCTCGTCTATCAGTATATGTTCCAATAGGCTCTTCGGTAATTGATCTATGCCATACCTTGGAGGAAACCTTCTACAAGTTTCTTGAATTAATTCTTGTCTCGCTAAGTTCAAGGACTGGGTCAACTCTAACGAGTGTTCACTAACTTCATTATCATGAACATCTCCACTGACCAACCACAAGTTCAAAATCAACACTAATTGCAACTTTAATACACTCATTTTCCACATTTCACATCATACAACAAAACGAACTTTCTTTTGAAAAACTTTAACCTAAGTTTTTAATGTAGGGCACGCAACTAAGCGCTTCGTTTATAGAATGTTATTTAATATATAACCTAAAGTGAATATCTCAGTTACTTTTTAATAATGATGTTAACTTTCATTGTACAAATTAAAAATTAAATAAATTTGTATCGAAATTAATTACGATATAACATGAAAGCAATGCTGTGCGCGTGCACTACAATCCAAGTAGACATGAACACTGAATGTATTGAATGAATGAAATTTATATGGAATGTTGCCACGTTCTGGTGATATTTTACCCGTATCCGTATCTTTATTTACCCATAAATTTGATGTTTCTAAAAAGTACTCAATATGATAAAATCTAATTGTTTTGAAATTTTTCTATTGTATATTAATTCTTTTAATGTTAGCCGTAAGTTTAATATTCCCAAATTAAAAGTACTTGACTGAAATATGTTTTAATTACAAAAGTATGACGGTTTAGGACGTACGCAAATTTTTGTTTACCAAAAAATCTAAAATACGTTTAAAAGTAATTATTATAACATATTATATGAGATCGATTAGTGGGAGAGCCATGCATCGGTACAAATGGACCGGAGTGATACCACGGTCTCACAGAAAATGTGTTAATAATTATTATTTAGTTCCTTTTCACCGACTCGCACTGACTCGACCGACCGGGGGAGGGGGGGGGGGGGCAATTAATTTTTCTTCGTTAATTTTCCCATTGCTTTAGGGTAATGAAGGATGACATCAGTATACTATAGCACTAGCAGATGTACGTTAAATATGAATTGACAAATTAACTCCTAACGAGTAAATTAGTTTGGTAGGAAAATCAAGCTTTCTTTATTTCATCATTATTTTTGGTATAGAATAATATTAAGACAGTGTTAAAATAGGTATCAATGTGCTAGTGGGTGTGTAATACAAACAATGAGAGATACAAACATGCACGATTTGTATTTTTCGATCATTTTTTTGGTTTATTCATTCTTAAAAACGTTACAAAAGGAATACTGATTTCTAAAATTCCACAGTGTTGTGCAGTGCCTATGTGTGCAAATAAAACTTTTGCGCCTCTCTTTTTGAGCTCAATCTTCAGTTCGGCAACCTTTCTCAGGCCGTAATCTATAATAAACTCAATAACACTTACAAATTCATAGAATTTTACTAAAATATTATACGTTCGGTAAGAATCTTTACTATCTGACAGCTGTTTGGACCTGACGCATACGAAGCGCCGTCTGGTGGCAGAAAAAGTATCGAAGACCCTTATTCCGGGGAATACTTTAAAATCAGAAAATTCAAAGTTAAATATACGAATTTAATTAGTTGATTTTGTACATTTTTGGGTCAAGTTACATTTAGTAATTTATCTACTTACCCCGCATAAAAAAAAAAAACAAATTATTATTTGTGCATTTTATTATCAAAGAAATCTTACATTATAAGTAGGTACATTAATTATATTAGGTTTCTAATGTTACTCTATTATGTATTATAAAATACTCATATAGATAAACATAAATCCATAATTTCCAACCAGCTTCTTAAGTAATCAATTTCTCCGGTATGTTACTCTGAAATAGATCAAAGAAAGGCAAGCTATATGTAGATATATTGTAAACACAAGACAAGTTACTAAAACATATTTCTTATTTACTAGAGACATGTGGTTTTAACCACTTGTGCATTTCAATGGTGCAAACTAGTTTCCGACGCGTCAGGGGCCCTTTTTAAGGAGTTTAAAGACAATGCCGGCACTATGAATATATCCTGTATCGCGGAGGACATTACAAACATACAACGGAAACAAAGAACACCCAGACTCAGAACAACAATTTGTGGATCACACAGTTGTCCCATGTGGGGATCAAACCCACAACACTCAGTGCCGTAGTTAAAGACGAGGTGACCGCTTAAACCATTGCGCCATCCGTACAGTAAGTGGAGTAAAGCGTTCTGCAGCGACGGTATACGTCAAAATACACAGGGAGTAAAACCGCGTATCCATACTAATAAATGCGAAAGTGTGTCTGTCTGTTACCTCTTCTCGCTTAAACGGCTGAAACGATTTAGATAAAATTTGGCATAGAGATAGTCCGAGTCCCGGGAAAGGAAGAGGGGAAAGGAAGAGAGGGGTGAAAAGGATGGTATAAGTTTGTATGGAAAAGCAATAACCGCTGAACCGATTTAGTTTTTACCGCGATAACCGACATTAACAAGGGCGGAGCCGCGGGAAAAAGCTAGTTTGTAATAAATATAAGTATTTTTTCTAAAAACATCTACTACATTTCTTACTACTCACCCTGAGATGTTGTATGTAATAAACTTGGTGGTACTGACGTATCAATGCAAATGCTTCTTCAGCCACCGGTAATTGATGATGCTGCCATGCTAGAACGGCTAAGCAAGCCCATAGTGTTTCATCTTCCACCGTACGACAAAGCTGGAACAAGATCTTAGATTAGTAGTACAAGCTTTTTTGTAACTGTAATTGTATGTAAAACATATGAAAATACCTGAAGAGCGGCTTGCCACAAATTAGCAGAAACGTGTTTTAAAAGTTTTTCAGGAAAAGCGGCGATAGATAAATGTAGAATAGAGCCGTTGCCGCGGCAGACTCGTGCCACTCCATCTTCTATGGCCAAAATAGTTGGATTTCTCCCTAAATCCCTATAAGTATACCAGAATTATATAAAAACAGACTTTTTTTCACACATCACATCACATCAATCATCACTTTTTTTAGAAATTTTGAATTCTAATATTATAAGGAATTCGTCAGACAAAAAGAAAATCTAGAACAGCTCCCTCAGGAGGTTCTTCATGTGGTCAAGGGATAGGGCAAAAATTTGCTTAGGTATCCCATCAAATCTGGGACCAGACTGGGACGAGGACACATGTTGCCGAAAAAGGCCTTTAAACACATCTTGAAGACTAAGCTAGAGAGTTTTAATAGAGAGACGAATTTGCATAGAATTCTTGTTCCACGATACATCGTCTCCTCTCCTCTACTCTCATAGCTATCTATTTTTTAACGCGGGGAATGCTTTTCGCATCATACCCTCTGTTGGGGAAATGGAAGAAGTGTGTGGGACTCCCGGAGAACCGGTATACCCACTAAACCCCGCGGGGGCCTACCTCGGCAGTCGGGAGAATTTCCAGGAACGCATCGGCGGCTTCTAGAGGCCTCCCTGCCGTACCCCACCACCCCCAGAGCGGGCCACCCGGGCAACAAATTGCAAAAGAGAATAGAAGGAAAGAAGGCTCTCTGTTATGTAGGAATGTTTTGCAGGAATGTATACTTGAAAATTATTAACTCACGCCACATCCTTGCTAACCGTTGTCAAAGCTAGCCAGTCGGGTTGTGTGGCAGCTCTAGGACAACACCACGCCACCACTGAACTAGCTCGTAATCCAACGAGTAACTCTGTCTCGTAACTCCACGCTATGCTGAGAATTTGTGACCCTGAAACGTATTTAAAAGACACAGTGGAGATCTGAATGTACCTGGACAATAATTTTTTTTGAGACATGGAGTCTCAAATGGCAAGAAAACTTAATTGCGCGATACAGGATTACCAGTTCCTTGTCACTGTCATTTTATCATTATAGTTCGTCTTGTTTTCGTTAGATGGCGCTAAAGTATGATTGTTTGTTTGTGAATTTGAAAGGCGATATTGTTATCTCTATAGAATCTCACAAGTAAAAACATAATTTTATTGATATCTTACCCAATTTAATAAACTTTGGCTTGGTATCCTTCACGGTGACCACGTAGAGATCTCTGTTATAGTCCAACAAAGCCAATTGTCTCTCATTAATAAGCCCTGTTTGACTGAGTGCTATGCTTGACACCGTCATCTTGTGGGTCAATTTTGTGACTGTATTATCAGCTGAACTTCGAACAATAAGTCCAGTTGGAAGATCGAATACATGAATCACTGGTAGCAAAATACAAAATTGATAAGTCCTAATGTAAAATGGGAATTTGGAAACCATTTACACATATCATGAAATAACACATATCAAATAAAATAAACTAATAATACAGTAGAGGCATTTTAATTTTAGATGTTTTTAGTGTTTGAAAATTAGTAATGCAAAGTTTAATAATGAGCGGTTAAAGTAGTTAAGCCGTGAAATCATAAGAAACAAAGTAATTTTCGCATTTATAATAGTGACGAGTCAAGGGTACTACGTAAACATCCTAACAACTAAAATAGATAGTTTGAGTACTTTGGAGTGTCTTCGTTAGATCAAAGATTTCCTAAACTAAATACAGTGACAGTCGCCACACTAGTGCCACCAACCAGCTGCCTGCGTCTTCATCCGGGTAAAATGTCTCCCTTACAAACCTTGAACCTTTAATTTAGTTGAAGGGGTTGTGAGGTCTATTCACTATCATCAACAGCCTTTAGAAGTCCACTGTTGGACATAGTTCTCTCCTTAGAAAGCAGGTTTCGGCCTACTATATCTACCACACTGGCTAGACGGGTAGGGAAAGGGTTTGTTTCAAGTTTTTGTTCTCTTTACAGTACCGCTGTCATGCGTAGTTTGCTCCCTTAGTCGGCTCTTACGACTTAAACTAAAATAGTTCATTAAAAAAACAAGCTATTCAACAAAACATTGTATGAATGGTCGTAATAAAGGTAGGTACAGACCATGTATATTGAAGACTTACACTTTCTGTCACCCTGGTCTATGGCTGCTAGAGCATCAGGTCCTAGTGAAATAGCCGCTCGACCCAAAGATTCAGGTCTAGCGCCCCACCGAGGACTTGCGAGTAAACGACCCATATAGCTGTATACTGAGAGACCTGCTCTTTCTACTATACAGAGACATCTGTGTAAATAATAATAAAAGTTTTCACAAAAATAATAAATAAATTTTCACAATCAATGTCACAGTGATTGTGAATAAATATTTATTTATTTAAAACGAAACATGTAAGCAGAAACTTGAGGGGTACACCAGTAGTCGCAGAAGGGTTCCATTTATCAACCTCGAGATAGACGCCAAATTATAGTATTGTCATCATTATATTAATTTCGATACAGATATTAGAAGTAGGCTTAAATTTATTTCCATGATTTATTAATTATTTATTTTAGATTTTATTATTTGCATATACAAGTTAAACTAAAAAAAAGGCTTGTTAAAAAACAATTAAATACAACGGACCTTTCAGCCAACAATATCATGCTTATAGTTCCTTCTTTCAGATCAAACGTTACCGGCGTATTCCACGAGGTAAGCTTATGTATGAAGCACTGTTTCACCGTCGCTATCACCAAATGGTTGAACCCCAGTGCTATTTGTATAACCCTATCTGGGTAGTCCAATTGGTCATTCTGGTCCGTTATAATGTCTTTTATATATATCACTTTCCGTCCTATTTGTGTGCACGAGTAGTTTTTCCAAGTGTATTCTCTGTAAAACATACGAAAATAGATGTACTTTTACCGTATCGTTATATCGTTTCATGACAGTACTTTAAAGAGTTCGTGGAAATAAATGTCATAACTACATATAAAACTTAAAATACGTAATAATTTTAAATATTTCGGAATAACTATAATGCTAAAACCGAAGTTTAACAACTGCCATTTTTTTAAAATTAGAATTAATCATTCGAGATGCGATAGGCTTCTTAAGATGCAGCATTGTTCTAATACTGTTTAGGCATTTAGATGTTACTATGGTGGAATAAAAAATTCAAATACCTACATGGAACCTAAAATCATGTAGGAACACTTCTTTCATGTAAAAAATAAATTCGTTTAAATTTAAAACTTGTTTTTATAAATTATTTGTTATCTTGTGTTATTTTTATCGTCGTGTTTATACTTGCTTATTGTTGAAAATTCAACGATAGGAAACTTTTGTAACAAACTTTTATTATAGTAAAACGAAACTAAATTGACTTATGTTTAATTATTTAAAATGTTGATTTGCATTAGAATCTTAGAAAATAATAAGTTAAAATAAGTGAATATCATTACCGATCAATAATATGTCCAAAGAGAACATGTCCATTTGCGCATGCTGCTGCCAGTTGGGTACCGTCTGAAGACCACGCTATGTTGTAAATACTGCCTGTCGTTGGTCGATCTAGACAATGAGACCACTAAAATACAAATTTAGCAACAGGTTAGCAACAACGTACACGGCCTACGGCTGGTGGATGAGGAATAGGGTTATTGGGCAATTAGGAACAGTTTATTGGTGAATGAGCAAGGTGTTATTGGTGAATGAGCAATAGCATTATTGGTGAATGAGAAATAGGGTTATTGGTAAATGAGCAATAGGGTTATTGGTGAATGAGCAATAGGGTTATTGGTGAATGAGGAAAAGGGTTATTGCCAGTCACAAACTTTCCTTACATATAAAAGGTAGTTATATGTAGGTTGATCATGTCCACAATGGGCCAAATATAGCAATATTTTTAAAGAAAGTAAAAAGCAAAGTAAGAGCGTTTCACGTCATACTATAATTGATAATGATGATGATATCGAAAATAACTAAGTTAATAGTGATATTCAATTAATCAAAACAATAAAAAATACATTTAAGTCAAAACGTTCTTTTTACGTTATCACATAAAAAAGGAAACATGTATAGATATATACATAGTTCATACCAATATTTTATCAAGTAATTAAATGTTTTAAGTTGGCTAGGCTGAGGTTGGTTGCCTTAATGGGGCCCATGTCATACTCGTAAATATCTGCTTCTTTTTCTTGCGAATATGCTACTGAATAGAGATTTTACCATATTAGCAAAATAATGCAATAAAACAGTTTTTGCAAAAAAAAACCTTATTGGGCGTGGCGAAATAGGGCAAAAAATTACCAAAACTTACCAAAAGCACAACCGTATTGTGAAGTAAATCACACATATAATTAAGATATTTAATTAGTAATACGAAAATTAATAAATCGAATCGAAAATAATTGGTATCGGCTGAATCATCTTACGACCATGGTCAGTGCAACCTAGTCAATTTAAAGATATAACCCACACAAATGTACCTGCAATAATTTTCAGCTTAGAGGATTAACGCGATCTACGCGTTAACCCTCCGAGTTAAAAATTATTTTTCATGAAACGCGACGGCTTTAACTAAGACATTAAAAAAAATCTAAACTTACCCCATTAGAGCTACAGAGTCGTATGAGGTTGAAGCTACCTAAAACGAACATGTCTCCAGCAGGCGACCAACTAACACTGGTTATAGGTTGATCGTGTTTAACGCTAACCGATATTTGCTGTCCAAAAGTGTCCCAAATCTGACAACATTATTTAAATATAATTAGATCATCACGCCAAACTTACGACAAAATTATGGCACAATTACAGCATGATTTTGATAATAGAAAATGTATAATTATCGACAGTGTCTACAATAAAATTTATATAAACTACTTTCACGCGCGGCCTCACTTACGTAAAAGTAGTGTTTCCTTCACACGGGATCAATATTTCTGTATTTGTGACAGGTTCTCTCTGTAATTTGCTTATGTGAATGAAATTCATGATCATCGGATGAAGCGATTAGGGATACGGATACACCGAATAAAATATGAACAAACAAACGAAATATATATGAACGTTAATAAAAATGAGTATAACTATTCAAAAAATACTTGCATACGGCTGCACTCGTTATAAAATAGATTTGTTAGTTATTTAGCTTTTTATCCGGAAAAGTGTTTTGAAAGATACACCATGTTCTTTCATTTTATGAAAATCAATTTAGTAGGTACATAGTTAATGCTCGAAAACGTAACAAAGAAACGGACAAACACATTCATAATATTAGTTAGGACTGAATTGTACCTTGGAAAATCCATCTTCGGAACCCGACAGTATCATATTGTTATTAGCATTCCAAGCTATACATAAAATGAGGCCTTCGTGCGCTTTCCACTGTAAAAATAACACCGATAAAATGCAGGTATATGTTATACATTTGAAATGAGATGTGAAGAAACGATTTAATCGACAAATCAAACACGACAAAGAATTATCTTGTATACTAACCATTACCTATTATAATGATAAGAAACCCTTTTTTATCAGAATTACGTAGATAAGTTTTTTTTTTTAATAGGAATACAGATAATTGATGGTATTAATTTGACTAGTAAGTAGGTAGGTTACTTAAGGAATCTATCTTAATAATTAAAACTAAATTACTGGCTGTAACATTTACGGCCGCTCATTCAAGGTTACGTCTATTTCGTTCAAATTTATTAATCATTATCCTCTGAGCCTTTTCTCAAACTCGGTTCAGGTCGGCTTTCGTACTACGTACGGCTTAACTTCAATTTTTTCCAAGAAACGAATGCCATCAAACGTCCACAACCCAAATACTAGGCGATACCGAAGTTCTGTAAATACATTGTTTTCGATTTTAGGGCACCAACTACGATTATATCCGCTATATTGCCAGGCAACCGGGACCGACGACTTAACGTGCTCTGCGAGGCACGGAGGGGTCTTAATATGTTAAGAATGGTCACCCATCCATAGGCTGACCTGGGTAGGATTGCTTAACTTTGCAATGGGATAACCTACTCGGTTACAGCTTCGTCACGAGTCCCTCTATATAATTTATTATCTGCCAAATAAGGAACAATTTTACTTTTTATCAATTTTCTATCAGAAAAGTATGCTTCAGGCCGAATTATTGTCCAAAAAGTTTATAAGTCATAAATTATAGTTTTGAAAGTAGACACCAGGAAAATGTCTATATTTTTTACACACACACTGCACACAAAGCATACAGATCTCATAGATCAAGGCTGGAAGGTCACAGCTCTTAAACACTTTGTATTTGGTAATCAAAATTGCGGTACCAATTAACAGTAGATTTTGACATGTAATAAATTTGAAATTATTTAGAGATAAATTATCATGTTTGGTTGTAGACCGTGTATGTCAATCAAATTATTTGACGAACATAATGTTGGAAATACATTTATACGTTACATTTATACTTTCAAAGCTAAAGTCCGAGAATTCTGCAGGAAACAGCTAGCAAAAATATTCTCATGATTTCGTCATCTCAGACATTATTGTATTTATTTTATTCCGTATATATAATATTTATTTATGTATTCGTTTATGTATTTTAAATAGTATTTTCAAATTAATGTTATATTTCCATAGCTTCTCTTCTTTTTACATAATACATGTGCACCTGCCATGTCCTTTACTTGTTTGATTGTTTTTCGCCAAAAATTCGGGCAATGTTCGACAATTGATTCGCGACATCGACCAGGCCCGTCTCTAGCCTATTGGAGGCCCGTGACAAATTAGCTTAATTGGGCCCCTACGAACTTAGCTGAGCACTATTTTGTTAGAATAGAAAAAAAAGTATTGTAGTTAGTCATTACAAATGAATTTTTCAAAATAAATATTTTTTTGGTGATAAATATTGATTTTCGATTGGTGATCTGGCAGGAATCGGGCCCCTATCGATCGAAGGGCCCTGGGCACGTGCCCAGAGTGCCCAGTGGGAAAGAGGGGCCTGACATCGACGAGTTTGTTAATGTCGGGAATCTGACTGATTCTACACACACAACTTTGTTTACGGAACAGGCAGCGAGACAGTCACACCCTTTTCTCGTTTCTTTTTAATTTTCTTTATCATATATGAATAAAAGTTTCACTCCATGCACTTTTAATAGCTAATTATAAATGACTTACTTTCGTAATTTTATTACTTGAATTAAGATACTTTATAACCAAAATGTTTTCCTTTGTATATAAAATAGCATTACTCTCTGGACTCCACACAGCATTGAAACATGGCACATCGGACTGAACGATTGTGGATCGGAGAAGTCCGTTTCGAGACCAGACTTTAACAAAACCGTCCTCGCCAGCTATAAAAATAAATTATTAATTTAATAGAATGTGTTGGTAATTGTGTATATACCTAGTTTTCATAACGGGAGCTAGTATCATACCTGTTAAAAGTCCAGCCCCGTCTGGGCTCCACTGAGCCGCAAGACAAGCGCCTTGATGAGCACTTACAGTTTTTTCTATGCGACCGTTATGATTCACAATGTGAAACCTAAAGAAAATCAGAGTGTAAAAGTATAAAATTTCAAGTAAAGTAAGTTCTGTTGTTAATAACGTTATCAATTCACATCACTAACTTGCCATCCGCTGTCGAGATTAATATGACATCGTGTTGGTGTTTATTACCACCACCAATATTTATCTTCGGAAACAAATGCATTCCAGTTGGATAAAAATCATCTGGGAATGTTGTTACCACCATACATTCGCTGTTTACAAGATTCCATTTTAAAAGTTTATGATCATCTCTGAAATATACGTATACATAGGATTAGATACCTTAACGCAAGAAAAAAAAAACTCGAAACACACAGGTGTCTGATCCCGAAGTAGGAAGGGTTACTGCTATGGCATTCAGACTATTATATATACATAAAATATATTATTATTATGCATAAAAACACCGAGACCTGAGCAAAGATCATGTTCCTCACACAGTTATATTTCATAGGTAAGATTAGAGGTTTCTGAACTGGCTTTGTGCCTGAAATTCACTTCGAGGGTTGCCCCGCACGGCGCGAACCAAGTTAAAGACACGGACAAAATTAAACTAATGGAAAAAAACCTGCTTGACCTGACACTTACACTATCCAGGTTCAAGTACATGAACACGTCATCATATTATGCGCAGTAAGTTCGATTGTTGCTTTTTAGTCGTATGTTAAGATTACCAAGACTTACCCACATGAAAATACATCTTCTGTATTATTCCAATTAACACAAATCACCACTCCCACATGTTTTGGTTCTTTAAAGTTTGATGTTTTTAATTTCATAATTAAGTGTTCCTGTTTCACTGTTTGTTTTTTAAATATGAGGAATCGTTGGCATAGCAACGATAGACGATGAATCAAATTTTCGCGCCTCCATGTGTTGCATGAAAAAAAATTCATGATTATGTTATATTAACCAAATCCCTCTTTATTTTGTTTAAATGTTTGTTAATAATAGACATTCAGATTGTACAAAATACAACTGATATACCCAATCTACATAAAACAAAAGTAAGTAAATATTAATAATTTAGAAAATGTTGAAATTACAGAACGACAATGTTTTTGTCAGTAAACGTCAAATTCTTATCAAGACGTAGTAGTGTAATTTGTCAATTTGTCAAACTGTCACCTCTCACATGTTCATATTTTGCATGGAGATACTTTCGTGATTTCTAAGTATTTGTATGTTATTTACTGTAAAGTACATAAGTTAAAGACATTATGTCTGACGTGCCAGACCTCAGCAGTGACGAAGAGCATTTCGAAGATGAAGAATGGCAGGAAATGGAGAGCACCAACACAATGGTAACATGCCTATTTTGTAATAACACTCTGTCAAATATAGAAGATGGATTTTCTCATTGTGAGAGCGTACATAACTTTTATTTGAATAATCTGAAAACAAAATTTAATATGGACTGCTATTCGTACATAAAAATGATAAACTTTATTAAAACACATAAACCCGCCGCAGAGGTTATAACAAATAGTACGACCGTTCTTTGGGATGAGGAGAAGTACTTGAAGCCAGTAGAAAATGATGATTGGTTGACGTACGATTTTGAGTCACTAACTGACAAACCTAGCTCTCCCAAGACTTACCATGCTAATGTCGAAAATGGATTAGTAACATTGTCACAAGCTCACTTTCTAGAACTTCAAAGGACTATTCAAACTTTGACACAACAATTAAACGACAATCAGACTCGTTTACAACTGGCGAAGGAGGATATAAATACTATGCAACAGTCGATGAAATCTATAGTTGAAGGTGGAAACTCAAATCTGAATAATGGTTCATCTGTGATTGTAAATTGTGTTTCAAGTGTACCTCTAGAAAGTGATGAAGGGTATTTTAGTACATATGCCCACTTTGGAATTCATTACGATATGCTCTCAGACAAGGTTCGTACAGAAACATATAGAAATGCAATACTGAACAACAAGGAAACAATTAAAGATAAAGTTATTTTAGACCTTGGTTGTGGTACAGGAATTTTATCTATGTTTGCCGCAACCGCTGGAGCCAAGAAGGTTTATGCTTTGGACCAGTCTGAAATAATCTATCACGCTATGGATATTATAAGAGAAAATAATTTACATAATGTTATAAAAACAGTTAAAGGTAGATTAGAAGATACTAAATTAGATGAAAGGGTTGATATTATTGTTTCCGAATGGATGGGATATTTTTTGCTGTTTGAGGGAATGTTAGATAGTGTAATATATGCAAGAAACCATTGTCTTAAACCTAGTGGCCTTCTCTTACCAAATAGGTGCAACATAAGCCTTGTAGCTAATGGAGACATAGACACACATAAACGGTTAATTGAATTCTGGTCTGATGTCTACGGTTATAAAATGAATTGCATGAAGTCTGAAGTAGTGAGAGAAGCTAGTATTGACATAGTTGGATCTAAACATGTAATTTCAAAACCGTACATTATTAAAGAAATCGATATCAACACTTGTAATATTGATGTAATGGACTTTACATCAAAATTTAAACTTCCAATTGTAAGAGATGGTGTATTGACATCTCTTGTAGGTTATTTTGATACATTTTTTGATCTGCCTAATTCCGTTGAGTTTTCTACCGGGCCCCACACAGCACCAACTCATTGGAAGCAAACTATTTTCTATTTCAGAGATTGTAAAGAGGTTAAACAGGGAGATGTTATTGAAGGTACTATCATTTGTAATCGTCAGAAAACAGACGTTAGAGCTTTGTCCGTTCAAATAAATATATTTGGTAAAAGTCATAAATATATTCTTAGCTAAGAACTTATGTAATATTTGTATGAATTGTACATTTTAAATTAAGCTTTGTGATGATGTCATCATAGTTGCAATGCAATCAATGCAATACAATATGTTTTTTCATCAAATGTTGCTCTGTAACAAATATATAAATATGTAAACAATTGTGTCAGTATTACAAGAATGTATGTGTCTTAATCATACTTTGAGTTCTTTTCAACTTTTTTAAAATCGTTTGAACAGAATGATAAAGTCAAAAAAGTTCTATTATTAGTTTGTAAATGTGTTGACTATCTGTCTGTCTTTAGTTTGATTATGATCAAATCTATACTTATGCTTCCCAATTGCAACAAAATGTGAGATCATATGAGACAGATTATCTAACATGTCAATTAAGCCTTCTTATTATGGTTAGTAATAATTCACTCCAATACCCTTTTTTTTTTCCGTGCGGAAATCCCCTCGGATACCACCTGTCGGTGGCATGTCGGACTCGAACCGACTAAATCCGCACGCCGTCTCGCGCACTAATAGCCGGGGAACCAGGTATACCCTAGAAAGGAAGTCCCTGGTGCACACTCCAATACCCTATGTTTTACTGACAATGATCTTGAACTGACAGAATTGATCATATATTTTTGTTTCATCCAGAGTATTAATAAAAATTATATAACTGTGGATAAGACAAGTATTGTTATTATCCTTGATTATACAATTTTCATTACTTATAATGCATAGTGTTCATATATAACTGAGATATAGATTTAAAATATAGCAGGATAGTTTTTTAAGAATGTTTTTTTTGTAAAAACATTAAATTTAGGCAACTGAGATACTTTATCAGTCAGATATTGTGTTCAACAATTATAATAAACTTAGTAATTAAGTACTCCAATGACGGAGATGGTTTGATTCCATAGGATGAGTAATATTGGAATTCATTTACTTAGTAATAATTATCACTTATATATTGTGATATTCCTGAGAAATCAAATACTTGACAAATGACAGAAACTTTGGAAGGTCCTTGAAGTGAGGTTAAACACTAGGTAGAAATGATTTTTTTATAATTCAATCTATTGTCTGCATGTAGTAAAAGTGCATTAGGTATGTTCTCACTCACATTTATACAATATCATGCAACATGCATGCATTAATCTATCATGATCTAATCAGTATGTACTATATTTTGTGGTAGGTAATGTTTCCTTAAAGGCCATAGTTATTTCTTGATCATCATAGTTTTTTTCTAACTTCATTGCTTCACTTCAATTTCAGAGCTAAAACCTTTTTTATACCTCTATTATACTATATACTTTTAATCATCCAATCGATCAAATGTTTTTGGAAGCCCATGTTTAGTATTGTGCGAGGTTAAGGTCATGACCTCGCAGGCCCGAAATGATGATAATTGTATCTATTACAGATAAGTAAAATGCAGGATCGTATGAAGATGCTTTTAATATTTCTAAGTTGTATGCTCTCTTGTATATTCTGCAGTGCGATGTATACGTACTATGAATGTATAAGTGTGGTGCATATAATGCTATAATATCGAACTGTAGAGTTTTAAAAGCGTACACTACTTAATTACGAACAAGAGTAAAATTTTGTTTTTATAAAATTGTATGTTGACATGATATTATTTGTTACAAATAATGGAGTGGGATATTTTAGTTCATGTAAGTAAATTTTTGAAAACATTGAAGGTTTTCTAATTGGCTACATTTTATAAGAATCTGTTAGAACCTGGTTGTCTATGTCTTAGGTATATAAGGACATGCTTTCTGCCTAACTTGTACAACTGTACCATATGTTAAGGATTATTAAAGTAATTATATTTTCTATAAGCTTTTTCTTTCTTTATTCCATTTTGTTTACAGGAGTAAAAGAGCAGAGGCGTAGCGTGGACTAATATAGGCGTGGGCAAAGTCGCATCAGCGAGGCCCCTTTCTTTCGTTCCCAAGTCATAGGTGCCCACTACATCTATTTTACCAAACATGCTTAGACACGATATACCTACTCATGACAGTGAAAAAAAAAATGCGAGACGGCAAAATATTAGAAAGTATACAGATTTGAAAAAAGGTTTTATTTTGTAATTTGCGTGATTCAATTTCTTACCAAAGTATTTTCTTCGGCTTTTTGCTTTACGAAAGACTTGTAATTAATTTTTGCAGCTAAATCTGCTTCGATGGAAAGTATTGCTATAGCAGGTAGTCGGACCCACTTGATACTGTTTCTTTAGTAGTTTTAATCATTATAACTTTGAAATACTTCTTTTTGCGGAAACTGTTCTTACAGACGTCTTCAGTGCTTATTTTCACGACCCCTCTTCCCTTACAAGTAGGGTTCCCCAGGCGTTGGTCTTAGAACCTCGCGCATAATGCAGGTCCAAGAGCTAGTCTTTCCCTAGAAGTAAATATTGTCTGTTACGCTATGGAAGACTCGGAGCTAGCCGAGTTAGGGGTAGTTTGTGTCACTCAAAAAATCAGCGGTCTGGGCCTAACGGTTAGCCATAAGACAGAATATAACGCGTAAGAAAACGCGAAGGTGCAGCTCCTACCCGCACGCTCATTAGCGTGGGGTAAACAGAGGTCAAGGTCAAACGGCTTAACAAGTATTTCGGCCTCACCCTGGACTGTCTCTGGAGCTTCGAGGAACATTTTGCGTGGATTATACTTTGACTTGTCGGGGTAGCAGGCTCCCTCTAGAGGCTAATGTCTAATCTAGGGAGCCGTGGGAATTTGCCGCCTATACTGTGTGGTGATACGATCCATGGCCATCTACGGAGCGCCGATGTGGGCTAAGCGCCGAGGCAGGCATCTTAAATTTTTTTTCTATAAAAATTATGTAGAATAGGTAGGTTACCAACCTACCTATTCTACCTAATTTCTTTACATTTTATTTACATTTACATATCAAGTATCTATTGTATTCAATGTAGGTATTGCAATAACAAATTAAATGCCATCACCGTCATCGTACTTTAAATTTTACCTGTTGGTATCATTTACCATCTGGCGCATTAGCGAGCGCTCTACTCCCTCTACCCCGAAGCTATCCCTGAGGCAGGAGGTCGTTTATTAAATGTGTAGACATTTACGTTCATTGCTCTGCTTTTATAGGTTATGTATAGCGTAATGTAAGACAGCTATGATCTATCTCAATAAACGTTCCTTTCTCCTTTCCTTATTCAGAGGGGTAGATCCCGGGTAAAGCCGTTCAAATAACCTAACAGGTGCAAAATTTAAATAATCATCATCTTTATAATATTAAGTAGCATAAGTATTTACACAGTAGGTACCTAGTTACATCCTTTTTCGCTTCTGGAAGGAGCTTGGTTGGCTCACCTAGCTAACCAGTCCTCGATGCATAAAGGACCACGCTTGAGTCTAAATGTGGAAACCGAAGCCCAAACCAATACCAATCCCATCCTATTTCATTCTCTCAAACTGCAGTTATGAAAGCATAAACGAAGAGAATTCGAGTAGGTAGGTATCTATGTTACGGAAAAAGTAAAAGACCTACACAATGCCAGTATCTTTTATTAAATATGTACTATTTTATTACGATTCAATGAATATTTTTGTGTAAAACTATATTTCGGTAATCCATGGTGATATATATAGGTAATACGGCAATCTACCCTAAATCAAATCCAACGATATTATTTAAATTATAATCAAACATTCTGTAGTCATTTTCAAAAAGTTTATAGAGCTCTCTTATGAGCGGTAGGTCGAGCTGTGAGAAGTAGCTATGGAGTTTTTCTGCAGTTCCTGACGTCCGGCTCAAGTGTGGTAGCTGAATGTTTGTAACGTTAATCGTCTTTAATGCCAGTTGAGCATCGTCGTGTAAGGTCTCATATTTACCTGAAATAAAATAATGGCTACAAATTGTCCGTATTAAGTTGACAAGCCCCTATACATATTACGTATATAATCAGCATATGCTCAAACGTTGTGTTAGGTACTTTGTCAGTCGTTCAATTATGTCTAATAGTGATATAGAACTTAAATGATTAAGGAAACCTGAAAACTATGACATCTGTTAGTAACGCTGTTTGCCATTTACAACATTATCCATCGTCAATAAAAAAAAATAAACATGTCAGTTTCGCTGTGAAAGAACGAAGATGTTATGACCTATCCACACAATGGGAGAATCCTAAGATCGTTAAAGTTGGAAAATTATAATTTACGACTATACTATGAGAACTACAATAAAAACTAAACTATAACTTACTATTGCTTTCAGCTAAACTAGGACTAACTATACTATCTCTAGTAGGTATATTTATAGTGTAGTAGAGTATTTCCCTTTAAATTTCATACAGATCTGTTCTGCCGATTTGGTATGATTGAGTAACAAACATCCTTTCATCCAAACTTTACCATTTACCTATAGTATACATTTACTTAGCAATAGAACAACACAATGTAAGATCAGACAAATATTTTTGCTGTATAGGTGTGTTGTTGGTTTTGGATGTGGTGATGGTTGATGGCGTTGACACTAATTATAAAGTGTAGAGGGTAAAATTTACACCTACCGACTAAAGTGTAGTTGATAAGGCATGGATGACATAACTTCGTGATGGGCGTCCAATGCTCGTTATTTACCATATTATTGAGGTTCTCAGATTTGTTCAATACGAACAACGCAAACTCTTTGAATGTCACGTCGTCACCGTTATTCAACGATTCTGCCGTTGGATTTTCACGGAATGCTTTGATTATAAGTTTCCCAGCACGTTCCTAAAAAAAGTAAAATAATTAAGATTATCGCTGAATATGTCGATATTAGTCATCAGTTTGTGACAAAAACTGTTATTCCGTGTGGGGACGGATTAGGAATCCAGAGTGTCACCACCCCTATTCAGGCAGCGAAGGAAAACTTGACACAAACCCTATAGCGTTTGGCCAGCGTGGTATAGTAGGCCAAAACCTATTTTCTAAGGAGAGGCCTATGTCCAGCAGTGGACTATTAATGGCTTTTGATGATGATGAAAACCCGTTACTAGATTAGGTGTGTACGTGGGGCATACTGAAAGTTTCTGAATCTGGCCACTTATAATAAAATAACAAAAAAAAACATATGGAATCCGAAAATGGAACATGTTGCTTAGTCATTTGCGAGACTGTCATTTGTTTTTTCATTGTGACGTCCTTTCGAAAATTGTGTGTCGCTATCAAAATGAATTTAACTATTGAACATTGCGAGTGCCGAGCTTGTGCATTTCGATTTGTGAAGTCGAGTCACGAAAAAAAAGTAATCATTCGTTGTGGATATGGAACAGATGCGGTCAGAGACAAATATTTTGAAATGATTCCTTTCAGTCGGTGACACGTTACATCATATGGTTGCGTTCTATTTTAATACTTAAAAGAACAGTGTCCTTCCTAAATGATTTGTCCAGACAATTTGAAATTGAAATCTTAAAACCGCCTTAGTTGTCTTTTTAAAAATAAGATTATACAACAAGCCCGTTTCAATTATATACCAGTATTTAATAAAAAGTAAAAGGAGAGCTATTTACTGGTATCTTGTAATAGTTCATGTTACTGTCATATCCGCAATCAAAAGTAATCTTATCGGAAAGGAATTAAGTAACGCAGTGTTTGTCTTGGAAAATGTATCTTAATTACATTAATACACAAGATACTGACTTGAAATGTAGCTAATCACCGTTTTATTTTTTTAAGTATTCTACTGTTTAGTGATCCTGACTGGTAATCCATAGTCCACGGAATCAATTCCCACCCCAGGACAAATAGTCTCGTGATGAACATGATTAATCTTTCTTCTTCTTTCTTTCTTTTTAAAAGACAAGGATGCGAGAAGACTAAAATCGATCTAAGTGCCCTGCAATGGGAGAGGCCTATGTCCAGCAGTGAACTGCGATAGGCTGATGATGATGATGATGATGAAAATACATCTCCCACACTAGGAACATAATCCTATGTCGCGTTGGACTAACAAACATACATGAAACGGACACAAAGAACACCCAGAGTTACCCAGTGCAGTCAACATCATCATTATCTATGTAATGGGTGTAATTTTTAATAATAATAATTTAATTGTGAAATATTTAAACATATTTATTAGCAGTTATTAGTCTGATTTTCATAATACAGGTTCCAAGTGTCAAGGTACTAAAAATACTGAGAAGTTTTCAGCAATATGTAGTTTAAGAAATTAGGATAATTTACAATCTGCTTAAAAAGTGAACAAAATAATACAACTGTCCTTCATCACATCAACAGCCTTTAATAGTCCACTGCTGGACATAAGCCTCTCCTCACGCTGGCCAGACGAGTTAGTATAGGGTTTGTGTCAAGTTTTCCTTCTCTCTGCAGTTTGCAGGTTGCCTTGTTGTCCTTTCTAAGGAGAGGGCTATGTCCAGCAGTGGACTGTTAAAGACTGGTGATGATGATGATGAATCCTTAGGCAAAACTAAGGTGGACACCAAAAGATACGAAAACTATCCCTATAAAGGAACTACTTACCATAAGGCGAGTTTTATGTTATTTTCTATCTATAGTTCTTAGTGAATTTAAAACCTGCTTACCTGGAAATATTTTGCGCTGGGTGTAGTCCCCTCGAACTTATTTCTATAGGCAGACAGTAATCTTTCAAATGGATTCCTGACTATGATCATCTTGTTATAATTCTCTAACATATAATCTCTTTCTTCTCTGGTCACGTTGCTTAACTCTCGGAACACTCCAGGAGCTTGGGCCAAATGGCCCGGTACGGCCAATATATCTGTTCCATTCCACTTCCCAGCCAAGATCATCAAAAGCCTTTTCCAGTTTGTGCATGCTACCTAAATCACAACAACAAAAATCTGTTAATCAATTGCTTGAAAAACTCACTGTATCTTCTAATTGTGTTATAAGAATGACTTTCAGGCATATGAATTTAATTTTTTAGTATATTAAGTTGCTCTTTTACTATAGAGGGAGTCAAAAATAAGATAATTCGTATAAAACACACATTACGCTTTAATTTTTTTTTAAGGTCCTTTAAACGTGTATTAGTCTAACAATACAAAATAGGATTTCCCTAAAGAGTTACTAAATAAAACGTAAATGAATTACAGTACTCTGTGACCTAAATCATCAGTTACATTTTCGTTAGTAGGTAGTGTACAAAAAATAGAGTTCACGAGAGAAAATAACATACAACAACAACAACCTACAGGTTGATTTCACAATAAGTACCTACAACCAAAACCTTTTTCTGATCCTAAGCTCGATAAAAGTGCGCGCTATTGTTTATGAGCAGTTTCCATTGTTGAAATTAAAAAACGCAATTAAAATGATTATACTATTAATTTAACGCACAATTTAGACTTACCTTAGGAACATAGCAATAAAGAAGTTTACGTTCGTCGTCTATTATAATATGGTCCAGTTCACTCTGAGGTAGCTCATTCAATCCAATCTTTGGTGGATAACGGTCACAAACATCTTGTATCCGATCCTGACGGGCCAGGTTCAAATTTTGGGTCATTTCTAATTCATGTTTTTCATCCTTAAGAGATACAGCGCTGCTCACTACCCATAAGTTAAATATGAGCAAAACATTTAACCTGAACACACTTGTTGTAATCATTTTAAAACAAAATATGAACAAAGATACCGCTAAAAATGAAAATTAATAAATTTAAAACAACATTCACATCTTGTCGTGATACCAATTAGCAATAAATATTGAAAGTATTCTAATGAGAAGATATTTTTAGGAGTTTTATTTTGCGGAACACATATACGATAGCACGCGCATTGGTAATTAAACAGACTGAATGAAATCGAATAAACACAAGCGTGCTCTTTATTAACTGACCACGGTATCCTCAATCTTGTTAGAGAGGAACATTTTGTGTCTAGATAAGACAATAAACGATATTGGTTATATATGATACGGCTATCAATTGCATGTTGCAATTTAGTAAATATTTTTTTTTTATTAGTAATAATGATAAAATACCTATATAAGGCTTAAGAACTTTAATACCTTTTTATGAATGTGTTATTTAGTATTTTATTGGCTAAAAACAGGTATTAATGTTTTTTTAGTATCGCATAATAGTAAGGACCGAGTCAGTCTAACGAAATCAGTCTGTTGTGTTTATGCTCAAATTTATAAATAAATTATATAAACATCTTAATAAAATAAACCATGCATATTGCAAATTTGAGCATATTGTTATAGTCGTCGCCTTTCGAAAAAGTGCGAACATTCTAAAATATTCCACGATGTTCTAGAAGTTTATTAATGTGATTTTTCGGGCGTGTGTACCTACTATAAGCCCGGCTTGAATAGTTTAAGACGTTGTGGGATATTTCTAAACCAGTGATATTGCTAGTGAACAAGTGCAAAGGACAACAAGCCCAAATGATTAGCAGTGAAATTGTGTAAATTAGTGTACAGATCTTATATCGAACTTCAGTTCTTAAAAAAGGTGTCGTTGCTGGTGTTACCAGACGAGAATACGGATGGCTTTCAGATAAGAGGACAATGGCAGCAAGATGGAACAGAGACGGTTGGCTCATTCCCGATTCCCTCGATTTCAGTGGCGCTGAACCTTGCCGTGTTAATTAATGCAGGATTTGTACCGTGGTTAAGAGGAGCAAACTCGTTACCCGATGGAACAAACATGTCAGTTGCCAGAGTCGCAGTGGGATAAAATGAAGCAGGCCAATCACCAAGAGGACGTCAGTTGCAGGAGCATTTTTAACAAGCCAGGAAGAGTAGATTTGCTAGTGAAAGGAGCAAATGTTAATTATGAAGGATCTTCTGAATACGCTTTGCAATACAATAAAATGCTGTTTGCCTTAAGAGACCTGAATCTTGAAACTGCTATAGTGGAAGGTGCTTCTGTAGCGCGCCTTTGAGGTGTTATGGTTTTATGTGATGCCTTCTTGGTCGGCTTATAAGATATGGTTTGAAGCCGTTATGAAGACGAACAGGTTGACTAAGGCGCATGCCATGACAGTACTTATCCAGGGTCTTCACTAACACGTGTTGACTGCTCTCGTGTCAAAAACGTTACTTAGAGAGCTAGTAAAGACGTTGGAACCGAGAAAGCGACGGGTCCGTATCCCGTGTCCAGTTATAGAAATGCGTGGGGTGAAAAGTCACAGCGACGTACCTTAAAGATTGAACAGGTTAGCTGGAAGGTATACCAGTCACCATCTGCAATGATTGAGGACAATCTAGTGCTGACCTTTGTCATTTTATACGATGTATATATAAGAAATTATTTCGAAGTATGGCAAAATTATATCGTCTCTGATTTAAGAAACTGAAACTAAGTACAAACTTTGCAGTGTTTTGGATCAAATGAACACTTGTTTGTGTGTCTCAAGTTATTTATTACCAATCTTTATTAGGATCCCTAAAATATTTTGTTTTATTTTGGAAAAGTTCGATTATCTAAGTCTTGGTAAACACTTTTCATAAAACAATTTAAAAAAACATTGTTTCGAAAATTAATAACTTAATGCCAGCTAAACCCCCTGGAATATGACTTCGCCTCACACCTTATGAAAGCTTGTGCATAGAATTGTTAGTTGTTTGAGGATAGGTAATAAAAGAAAACGGTTTTCTACGAAAATGTTTATTTAATTTTACATATATAATTTACACATAACTAAAAGGTGTTTTACATCTATTTACACATGTAGAAAAGAATATTAAGTTGATAAAAAAAATACCTATGAGTTAGAAATTTCATTTTATTAGAGAGAAAATGCACTTTATTACAAAGATCACTGTGTGGCTTATATTAAATTATTGTGATAGAAAAAACATGGGTAATTATTATGAATGGTTGCAAAACCATGCATATTCTATTTAAAAAGATTCTTCCTGTTTATTTTGCATAAGAAAATGTGATGATAACATTAGTTTAGAACTTTTTTTTTTCGAAAAGATAAACATTTAATACGTTTGAATTATTTTTTATAATATTTGCATGTAAAATGGAGTAGAAATATTAAATCGGTGACATTTACATACATAAAGCAGAATATTGTGTAAAATTATCTAACACCGTTGACGGTACTACCTTAAATGTAGCAGGTCTTTGATAAGCTAAATAACACTCAAAACTTAACACATTCGGAATGTTGTAATGTCACACCTAAAAGCATTTGTATTTTGTATAAAAGTTTCTATTAAATTGTTTGCTGAGAAAGATTATGTTTGTCGATGAAGGCCTTTGTACTGACCGAAGCTATAATACAAGAACAATAATTAATAATCTTGTACATAAGGCTCAGTAATGCTAGAATCTACAATTTATAAAGCTATATCCCCAATCTGAATGGCATTACTAGACTACATGTCAAATTAAGTAAGTTCCTATGTCGATTACTCTTACACTTTAAGTACCTACAAACTATTAATAGGTACACTAAATGCACAATATACAGAATTTCATAAATTTCTATTGATTAAAATAGATGATAAATATATAAAAAAATCTATTGTTAAATTTGTCTACAATAAGCGTCACCAGTTGGTTTATAATCTATCCTAACCATCCCGAAATCAAATAGGGACCTAGTTTATTATGATTATGGTTTCATTTGATTTGATATTCAATGAGAATGGTCCCACGTACCTACCAGGAAAACTAGGCCTGAGATAAACTTCCAAAACATTACTGGATTTACACCTCCTTTGAGTGGATATAATAAAACTATTATTAACGGTTCAGTACAGATTTAGGATGAAAATTTGGCATCCGTGAGTAAACACTTGGCCTAAAATCTTTTAATATTTTTCACAATAATAAATTCAATTTGTTTTCTCCTTCATTAATAGATATTCTACTTGAAGGACGGTACATTTACTTTGGTTCCTTCAAAAAGCAGTTTAAGTTGATTTCTAATACCTACCTAAGTATTTCCTGTTTGTCCCCAGGCTGTGACGCCCTTGCCATTCAGTCTAATAATCTAATAGGTAGTTGGTTTTAAAGAAAGCTGATCGACTCTATGTGATTTGAGCACGAGCTTTAAATATTTAGATAAATATTTGAGATGTACTACATTATTATTAGCTATGTTGTATAGTGAAGTATAGGTACTAATGTACTATCTACATATTTACTAGAATTTGAGATGCCGTTTACCATTTAGAAAATAATTTCATATTAAATAACATTTGGTCAAGAATATCAAGACTCCAATTTAATCGGAAACATTAAAATTAATAAGCGTATTCATCATATCGGTTAAATTTAACACTAATATTAAGCTACATAGACATAAGTTATAGTTAAGTGTTTGATTGAAGAGAAGTGCACATGTGTTTATGATTAGGTTTATAACATAATGTTGTTTGCTCCGTCACCAGCATTTGATAGTTACTTACAGATATATTTAGCTTAAGGACTATATTTGAAATGAGTTCAGTACAGTTTTATACAATATTTTAGTTTTTACGAGTAGAAAACAGTGTCATCTATTGATATATTCTCAAACATACAGCCAAAGTTTATACTGCGAGTCATAGATTATATTTTAGGAGTTCTACAAGGAGCACTACTGGCTCCTAGTCTGAAGTTATCCCCGCAATAGACTTTTGGTAACATGAGAAATATTCAAAGCCATAAATACTTAATTTTACGCTAGGTTAAAATCTTAGCAGCGAATAATAACAGGTAAATCATTTACACTATTGGCGCACCGCAATGCGGTCTGCTGCCGTTTCGAATTAGCTCACTATGTTGTCTTCCACATAGAGAAACTTTATACATCCAGATTATTTTTTTGCATTGTGCTTACATGTCATATGTTTGTGCGTTACACACATCTTAATAAATTAGCAACATATATGAAGCTGGTACACTTATGAATAACTTGAGTATGCTTTAGCTTTTTTTCAACAATGAATTGAACATGTTGCAACACCTAGATCTAACGCTATTTACAAATGTGGCTAAATATTATTCTTCTGTAGTGAGCGGCACGCTGACGCTCTCCTCCTCCTGTTTAGCTCGAGCCTCAGCATCTGGAAATATTATTTTTGATTTTTCAAATTAAATTATTTAAAAACATCACATTGTTTAATAATATTTTTATATTAAACATAATTAACAGTGTTGTCTAATTTCATGTCACTTATTTTTAAACATTCGACAATTATTCCATATTGTTCAGGAAAGTATGTCCATGAAATACCATTTTAAAATTGCATCAGCTCTATTTTAAACTTGTTTAGGCCATTGGCCTTAAGAAAATAGTGAGACATCGGTCAAGCCCCACACCCTGACTAATTACGTTTCAAGTACGAAAAGATAGTTTCTTGGAACCTGATTATAATAACCTCACACACGGCTGTCTGATCCCAAACTAGGCAGAGCCTGTACTATGGTAACAAGACTGATAATTGTTCGGGGGGTGGGGCGTGATGTGATTGATGCGTCACTATTTTCTTAACGCGAATGGATTACAGTGTGCGAAGGGATTTATATTTCTGACCTTGATCGTGAAGACACAAGAATTATATCACCATCGACAGTGACAGAAAATTTATCTAGAGTAAAAGTTATAAATTATTTGATTGATTATGTAGAACATATTTAACAAACCTTTAGCAGCCTGCTCTTTCCATATCTTCTTATTGTCACTAAGGCAAGCCACCCAAGGCTTTCGGATTTTAAACTTGACACTGTTCTCGTTACCTGAAATATCGTTTAATACATTGTACTTATGTGATCTAAGAATTAACTGTTTTGTTTTTTTTGCTAATTCAGTCTTCACATTAACAAATCGGATAGGTACGCGATTTGTTAATAATTATATGCATGATATTATTATAATTTAGAGATTTGAGTTTGTTTGAACTTAGTCCATGATTTATCTAGTGTGATCTCCTGTTTGCACAGTATAATATATACAAAATTCTAAGAGAGTTTAAAAAATCTACATTTTTAATTTTTGCTATTACAATGAATAAAGTGTCTATTGACTCACCCGTATTCTCTTCATTGATAGGTTGGGCTGAACTATTGGTAGTCTTGTTGCTGGAATGCATAGGTCCTAATACACATTCAAGCATATCAGCGCATACTCCCATGCTAGGTTCAACGATAAATTCGATGAAACCAATCTGGGACTCTGCTACCAAAGTATTGTTCCTGTCACACAACGGGCTGAAGGGAAGGCCTAAATCTCGTTCCTTATCTCCTTGCAGGAAGAACTCGTCTAGGAGACTCATCGTCCACCTGTGATGTAGGTCCCATCTCTGGAATGTTTTGAAGAAAAAGTAGAATTTTTGGCAGTTTTTCATGTTTTTTTTACATTTTTATCACACAATTGGGATTAAAATAAATTATTATTAACATACTTTATCTGTATACTAGCTTTATAATAACTAAGTCATTAAAAGTAATAGTCAAGCACAGCTTTTATCTATATTTTCTTTTAATTTTAATTTTAGAATGATCTTTCTTAAGTCCTATAACAAATGAAACATTTAACAAATAGAATAGGTCAGGCCTGAAATCTAATGCAGGAGTTAGCACAATTATCAGCAGCGATGATATTCCATTGTGTTGTCAACGCACATGTTACTGGCGCTACTGTAACCGACTACCACTAGATGGTAGGTGAGCTTGTTTGTTACTACAATTGTACAAAATATATCAATCGACTGAGATCTAAAGCCGGGACAGAATATTCACATACGTAGTCATAATCTATTACTTTTTTTAAATTTCAGAATTCACAAACATTCTGATCCTTCCTTACCTGATACCGAACTAGGCAGAGCCTAGTAGTTATCAAACTACTAATATACATACTTAAATATCTCTAATTACGTGCATCACATCACATCAACAGCCTTTAATAGTCCACTGCTGGACATAGGCCCCGAGACCAAAAGGCCAGTCTAGTACAATTTAACTAATTCTCTACACACCATATTTATTCAACCGACATCCATAACTAACTCACCTTAGCTGGATGGGAGATATCACAGCAATGTAGTATCAAAGATGCTGCCTTGGACTTATCTACAGTGGGTTCAGCAAGTGTCAGCAATGACCTCATATTCTTCAGCTGCTGGAAGTGGAACGACATGTCAGTAGCGAGCACCATGTCGATGACTAGTGTACGGAACTCTCGAAACTCCTCCCTTGACAAGTTCTGGAGTATGTTGCATTCTTCATCACGCAACAACCTGAAATAAGTTTAAGAATCTCTAAATTGTTTGTTTCAAATTAAAATAGTAGAAAGGAAGCTTCAATCAAACTGTAGCTTGTTTTTTAAGTGTGGTAACCCCCTCGGGCCGTCACTCTACGGAGGTGGTAGTGGCAGTGTGTCGGCATCGAACCGACTAAAACCCCACTGCGTGCCACTCTGCGCCTTAAATAGGAGTGATCTAGAAACAGATTTATTAAGACATCCGAACCCCTCCTAGCGAATCTAACCGTGACCCAAATCACGTGTTAGAATCGATGTATTCTGCGTCAAACAACAGGCACGGTGAACTAGAAAGATCTAATAAGAGCAATGAGAGACTCAAATTCTAGGCATAGATCTTCTTGACTTGAGTCAGACAAGTATTACAGTTCTCGAAAGTGATGCATAGATCTTCTTTAAGATATAGTCTTTATATAGTCTAGAGATATTCAAATAATAAATAAATATTCAATTTAAAAAAATATTAATTTGCTGTGCTACTTTCAGTATATCGGAAACAAAAGGCTGTTAATTTGTTTTCAATTAGCCCAATTCCAACTTTTCGGATCTGCTTAACATTCTTATTAAGTATTTGAGAAGCTTATGTCGATAGTAGGAGTAATTTAGGACTTTGTATGTTTAATTAGCCACAAATGGAGTCAATATATGTATATATATATTTCACAGGCGTGTCCTAATTACATGACATTATTGCTTGCCTCTAAACTAGTGGTTATAGGCTGTAAACCTGTTTGCATTATTAGTATAGGCTTCATTTTAATTATAGAGATTAATTTTTACTTTAGGAAACTCGTCAGCCTTCATTTACTGTAGGTATATTGCTGTGTTTTTTTTTGTCGTATTTTAATAGTTAAATCATTAGTTAAACATTAGCATAGTAAGCGATCTTGATTGCGAAGCCAGTGATCGTGGATTCTATTCCACCCAGGACAAAAAATTGTGTGACGTGAACGATCATTAATTTGTTCTATATCTGAGTGTAATTTATCTATAATATGCATGTATTTAAAAATATATTTAAATAGTTTAGTCGCAGTTTGGTTACCATAATGCAATCTCTGCCTATTTGAGCGGCCGGTGAGATATGTAAAGTTACAAAAATAATTAACACTCAGACACAGAACAATTAACGATGGTACGCATACCACAATATTTGTCCTGGGTGCGAATCGAACCCATGACCTCTGCCTCAGTAGTCAGGGTCTCTAACACTGGACCAACAGGCCTCAAGAAGAAGAGATCATCATCATCATCATCATCAGCCTATCGCAGTCCACTGCTGGACATAGGCCTCTCCCATTGCACGCCACTTAGATCGATTTTGGGCTTCTCGCATTCAGCTCCTGCCAGCCATCTTGCGCAAATCGTCACTCCACGAAGAAGAGATAAGAGAAGAGTAAATTTTAAAAATTGCGCTTAGACAGGATTGAAACGATAAATACTCGTAGGTGCTTGTTTTTTTCGGTTAATTTCAGTTTATTTGACAATGTTTATAGTATAACATTTCCTTAATGTCATTGTATCAGGATACTTATTTAATGCTTTAGGATCAAATTCGAACACTGTATAATACTGTAATAATCTAATGTAGGAAGTGAATGTGCTTCACTATTTTTGGTACAGGGTTATCTTTTATGTTGTAAAAATCAATTAGTACATTAAACCAAATGGTTTTGCTATGTTCATAAATCCTTAGATAAAACTGACTATCTGTTACAAGTAAATTTGTATTACGTGAAAAGAGAATGCCGGAGGTTTTTCATGATATTGTATATTATAATAGAATACACACCACGAAGAAAAGAATCATGAGGGTAAAAGATGACCAGCCAGTTATGGACGAAGCATCAGGTAACTCAAAAGATATGTAAAAAAGCCGTGTGGTGTCGTGGGACACCCGATAGGAACGAAGTTGTGACGATCGAGTAAAACTGATTCGACACGATTTTAATTACAACGTCATCTATGAAAGCGGCTATTACCTACATATTTTTCAGTTGGTTTCTAATTAAAACAATTTATACATTGGTAAAATCTCCTTGAGAAATGATGTCGAAAACATTATTTTTTGCTCAACCTAAGAACATAAATTTTAATTTTACTGAGATAAAAAGTAATGATTTCCTATCTATTCGATAGATGGCGCTGAATGACTGACAAGTGACAATTCAAAATAAAAAGTGTCGTTACAACTTTTCGTGAGAATTTTTCCGTCTAGCCCCCTTTCACAACACGCGATAAGGAACTTCGTTCCAACTAGTTAGAACTAGTTAGTTAGTGGTCGCATTAATTCCCGTATGTAAGGATATTTATATACATGCATTTTTTTATGATATAGGGTGCAAACAAGCAGACGGGCCACCTGATGGAAAGCGACTATGTCGGTAGTCTTTTGACTCCTGAGTTGAATCTAGCTTTGACTCTTGAGTGGCCGACGCCCATGACAGCTTGCAACTCAGGAGTTGCAGGGGCGCGTTGCCGGCTTTTAGGGAAATACTACCCATAACTACTTATGTTATATACTACTAGCTGATGCCTACGACTTCGGAAATTTGACCGGGAATTTTTTTATAGGGTTTTTCTGAGAGGAAAAATAGCCTAAGTTACTTCTTGTATAGACAGCTACCTGGTTGTCAAAATATTATCGAAATCGGTCTAGCCGTTTAGAAGAATAAAAAAAAGACAAAAAATATTTAAACTGTTTTTTAGGCTGTTTTTAGGTATCGTTCTATTTGAACGATACCTAAAAACAGCCTAAAAAACGTGTGATCATAAAAAAACCTATTATTTTGATATTACAAACAGACTCTTCAATTTTATTTCTTTGTATAGATATCTTTTTAACTTTTATTCATTTGTAAGCAGACGCGGACGTCTTCGTGACGGTAAAAACGTACATTTTTAATTTGTTTTTTCAAATGACATGATAAACAGTTGTAGATTGAGGGATTACAACAATATTAACTAATACTTTTTATTGTTTATCGTTATCTAACACTATCGATAGTTATCTTATCTCATGTATTGTTTGAAACAAATAACCGCGTCATACGATATCCGCTATTTATTTTCATGTTAAAGGTGTATTTGTTCACTCACTCACTTACACTCTACACACACCCGTGTGTAGAGTGTAAGTACACATCCACACACACACGCACACACACACACACACAATTACCTTAGATCTTAATTAATATTCAAGTTTAGGATCATTTCTTTATCACAAAGAATAGCATTGACAATTCACTTACATGAGAAAAAATACAAATAAATTACAGTTTCATGGACTTAGCTGTGATACTGAAAACAAGAGCCCACGTTGATAATTGAAACAAAATAACAACAAACAATTCTTACACAAATAAAGTGAGGGTAATTTAAAAACATGCATTCCAAATATTTGTTTAACCACGTTACCGTGCGTGCGCAAAATGGACAAAACGGTTTGTACACACTACAATTTATTTTTACATATTTTGCAAAATGAAAACTATTATTTGTTAGTAATGATAGTAAATTTAAGTATAAAATTTATTAATACAGTTTACTTAGTACATATTTTGTTGATTATTTATTATATTGTGTATCTTATTTTTTAACATTGTATTTTTCTTTTATTGCGTTGATTGATTTAAATTGATGGTTAAATTTATTAATATATTCATCATCAACAGCCTATAACAGTCCACTGCTGGACATAGGCCTCTCCTTAGAAAGGAGGTTTTGGCCTACTATACCACGCTGGCCAGACGGGTTGGTATAGGGTTTGTTTCAAGTTTTCCTTCTCTTTGCAGTGCTGTTGTCATGCGTAGTTTGCTCCCTTAGTTGGCTCTTACGACACCCACGGGATGAATAGGGGTGGTGACATTACGTATTCTTACTAGGTCACCACACGGATAAATATATTAGCATTAGTGCATATGGTATCATTATATATTAAATTATTTATAAACGATAAAGAGCTAAATTCTTTTTGGAAATACCATGACGGTTAAACTTAATCCAAAAAGGATAACATAATTACATAACCAGATTATGTAACGATCGATAATAAACGTAAAAAAAAGCTTTTTATAATAGAGTTGATCTTTCGCAAAGTCGGTCATAAATAAACAATGGAGTATCAGTTTTCATAGCACTTTCTTACGTGCCTATTTCTTTCTCGAAGATATACTTAGCTGTGGCAATAATAAATTACATATTCAACTACCTATGAACCTAATAAATAACCAAAGAATATCCGTCGGGGCTAAAAACAGTATGATTTATAAAAGTGTATTTATGCTTGTATTATTTATCGATGATGTGATAATTTAATATTTTTTTTAAGGTTTGCATATTTTTCGCATCTTTTACCACATTAGGCAGCTGATTATAGATTTTAGTACCTTCATACATAATATACCTCTTTCCAGAATTGATCGTGATTTTAACAAAAGTATATCATTCTTACTTCTAAGACCGATTCTATACACATCCTTTTTTTTTAGTAAATTTTATTTGACTATGTATATTATTAGTTAGTATTTTTCTTAAGTAGTAGTTTTCTAAGTATAGAATTATAATTGTACATGTGTATAACAGTCATGGTTTTGGTTTAATTGTAGATTTATTAATTGATGTGAGAAAATCGAAATGTAATAATTTCTTTATTAGTTTATTTTGTGCTGTTTGTAGGGTTGTTAGATTGCTTTTAGCAGCTGCACCTCATACTTCTACTAAGTAGTCTACATGCGGTTTTATAAGTGTATTATACTATATATGGTGTGCCTTAAATGACACGGTAAGCAACGAATTAATAGAATTACCATAGTTTATATTTTATTTGTAGGCGCAGAAACACTGTTGTTAATTTATTCGTAAATGATATTTCTCGGTAGTATAGACTTTAGCTCTCACTAGGGCACTTTATCTTATTTTATTTTAAAACATGTATTGGTATTATGGTACTGTACTCTATGAGAGAGATAAAGT